CCTGCGAGAAAATAAATAAAAAGGGTGGGGCTGCTATGAGTGCAGGCAGTCTAGGAACAGTTCAACCCAGTGGCATGACAACACCGGCCCTCGCGGCCAAAAAACAGACCGGCCCACCGGGAATCCTCCCGGTGCTCCCGATTAGCCAATCCGGGCCTGGCTCATATTGATATTCATGAGCCAGGTCTCTGACACAATTACCATAGTAGGATTCATAAATTCCAAACGCACTAGGCAGTTGCTAGGAAAACACTGTTTAGCAAATGTTTGCAACTTTACAGATCTTCTTTATGCACCAAGAGCTTATAACACTCCAAAGAGAAAGGAAAAATTGAAATCGCATCATATGACCCCTTTAAATCTTTTACTTTTCACAAGTATCGCAACCCATATTCCAGATGTATAACGTAAATGAAGTAATAGCATTTCCGTTTGGATAAAATCTATGTGACAAAAACATTCGACAGCAACATCAACAACAACAACAACAACAACAAAAAGTAACATTCGGATGTAAAGCAGACTCTGAAAAATCTCGCACTCTCATGAAAACCAACGCATTTTACATTTTAATTCTCAAATGTTTCGTTATTCAGCGTTAAAATGAAATATGAGCATAAATGTCATAAATGTGTTCAGATGCGTTATACTGTATGTCATACAGGGTCTTTATGCAAGTCAGAAAGACAAACGGACTTACATATATTTTTGTAATTTTATTCTTTAGTGGCTAAATTCCATATACATAAAGAGAAACCATACTTTTTAGCGTTTAAAAAAGAATTAATTATGTTGAATCAATCTTGCCCTCAAAAAAATGTTTTCTTTATTTATTTTCATGTCTTTGTGTAATGGTAATAGTGCTTATCTTCCCTTAGCAAATTGTTATTATTTTTCTGCCCATACTTGTTCATATTATCCATGTGCATGTTTTTCAATGAATTAAAGAAGCAGAATAAAATAAATAAATAAATGTCACACGTTGCACAGAGTGTGACATTTACTTATTTATTTATTTTATTTTGCTTCTTTAATTTAATAAAGTTTGGAAAATATCCCTCACATAACGGTGTAGCTGCATGGGTGAAGAACCAGATAAAATTAAAATATATTTTCTTGGGAACAGCTGAACGGAATAAATGAACGCAGGATGAGCAGAAGCGCTTGTAGGCATGGGACGTGACGTCCTCACATGATCAGCCAATCCCGCACCGCCCTCGTGTTTACTGTCTGAGTTCCGCGCATGCGCTCTAGCATGTAAATAACAGCAGCCGCGGTGGTTTGTATGGTTTCGCACAGGCTCGTCAAACAGACGAACAACCGGCTTATATTTACAGAGGACGTTATTATATCTGCTACGTTAATGAAAGTACGTCTGGAAGAAGAATACAGCGTTAAATTAGTGGAACAGAACGCATTAATTTAACGTTACAGCTAGTGAAGTGTCAGTTAGCACACAGCTATGATAGAGACTAACGTTAGCCGGAGGTGTTTGAGTTTGACACATTTAATACAGTACAATTAATTATATAGAATCTTGACTTATTTTCTTACTTTTGATTTATAACCAACAGTTCATAAAACCGCTTTCTGTTGGACAGGGATGAGAATATTTAGTGCCTAATTGTGCTATGCTGTTAGCAGAGGTGTGGTGATGTGTTCAGTGTAGCATGACACAGCAGGCTGTTGATCAGAGTAACACAGCTGATCCAGGAGCGAATATAAACACTCAAACATACATTACTGTCTGCTGTGGGATTCACAGAAATGCTAACAGAAAACAGGTGAGTCAACAGATTGTTGATGTTACATTATTTTAATGAAGGAATAAATCGTCTTTATTAATCCCAGAGGGGCAGTTTCTGATTTTATACATACATCTTGATTCACACATATACAGACAGAATGTGACACAATGGCGAACGTGCTAGATTGTAGCATACAACTTGGAACATAAAGAAACGTAATTTGCAATGAAATAGTATGTGTAGAAACACTTATAACATAGAATATATAATACCCTGTGAAATATATAAATATGTGTAATAAAATGGTACAACACAGTAATTAAGGTCCTAATGTGTAAGTGTTATGAAGCTGCTTTAGTTAGTATTATGTTTATAGTCTTTAACCTGTAATGATGTTGTGAAGGAAGCGTCAGCGTGCTGAAGGTGATGTCGAAAATGCTCGGATGCCTCAGGCCAAACGACTGAGTTCAGCTCTCCAGAGCTCAGAGACGGGTAGAGAATCATGGGAGTCTGAGGTAGGAAATAGAGTCAAACACACATCACTACACTTCTTATCATTTAACTGCACACATCTGAATGTTTTGTCTTATCGCTGTCTTTAGGAAGTGTTTAGCCAGTCATGATGAGGTAGGAGTAAAATGGGATGAAGTCTTTAAAGGGGTCATATGATGCGATTTCAAGTTTTCCTTTCTCTTTGGAGTGTTACAAGCTGATTGTGCATAGATAAGATCCCTGAAGTTGCAAAGACTAAAGTCTCAAAACCAAAGAGATATTCTTTATCAAAGTTAAGACTCTGCCACGCCCCCCTAAAACGGCTCGTTCTAACACGCCCCCACATATCTACCTCACTATGTGGAAATATTTGCATAATGCCGCCCAAATGTGCATGCAAAGAAAGAAGGCGTGGTTTCAGTAACCGCAGTTAGTGTTGAAGCAGCATGTCAGGGAGATGCTGTGTGTTTCAGTGCGAAAGCAAAAGCACTTTATTTGGCCTTCCGAAAGTAGATGCATTTAGGAATCTTTAAGATTACTTACAACAGAACAGCAATGCATTTTATGGACGACCGTTTCGTGAACCTAGGAGAGGAGGTAATTCTGACTTTGCTATGACAATCTGGCGCTTCTGAATCAGCTACTGTTTTGTTATTAGTTTAAGTATTTGCTATTGACTGTTCAAATGCGGAGTTTTGCGCAGCGCAGAGTAACGGGTTGTGTGTGTGTGTGTGTGTGTGTGTGTGTGTGTGAGGGGAACAGGGTCACATAACAGGAGAGTGAACTGCTTGTCAGAAATCATAGCACGTCAGCTGTCTTAACCGTGGCTTGTGTACTGCAAACACATACCAGCTTCATCACTGTGTCTGTCATGCGACTCTGTTGCCCTTTCGGGCTTGAACTGATGGTAAAACTAATGACATTATTTACTGTCTTTACATTTATTTTGAAAGATGAAGCACGTGATTATGGTAAGGGGCGTTACGTTACCAACGAGTGCTTGCAGTGTTCGGCCAATCACAATGCACTGGGTCAGCTGGCCAATCAGAGCAGACTGCGCTTGTCGGAAGGAGGGACTTTGTAGAAAACAAAGCGTTTGAGAGAGGCGGGGCATAGAGGACCTACAATAATGTACAGTATTTGAAAAATAATGTGTTTTTTGAACATTAAAGCATGTCAACATATTCTGTTACACCAAATACACAAAATAATGATCTTTAAAAAAGCATCATATGACCCCTTTAAAAGCTGTTTCTGGCTTTGTGTTGCACCTGTCACTCTGCATATTCTTCCGAAACAGGGTTTCTGAGTTGATGAAAGATGATAATTAATTAAATAATTAACAAATATTGAATTAAAGTTTCACATGCGTATCGGAACTCATTGTGCGCTGTGTTAATTTTTTTTTTCACATTCACATAATTTCCGTGGACAGTATTCAGCGTTTTACCAGTATTTTAACATTTGAAAGTGAAAAATTTAAGACAAATATTAGTATTGTAACTTGTAGTGTAAAATAAATTTCTTATGTACTACACACACACACACACACACACACACATATATATATATATATATATAGTTTGAGTTACACATTTCTTCACAGATGTTTTATAAATCTTGTCTCAATTGTGCAAAGGGACTTTTTTGACAGCTCCTACGGATCATACTTCCTGCGTTTTTGAATCCCCGTTCTGTGATAATCTGATCATTGAAGTTTTAAGTTTTCTTTTCTTTCTTTTTTTTCCACCACAGCCCATTTTTTCTAGTTGTGTTTCTATTGTGTAGACAGCAAACCTTTATTAAAACCCCATATAAACATTGGTCAGCAGTGAATTACGGCAAAGTAGGAAACTAGGGGTTTTATGAAATTTATGAAAGTAAGTAATGGCAATGTGACATGACACCAGACACATCTGGACTTGCATGTGTGTCATAGGTTTTACAAATACTTGAAATGTCCATGTTCTGCTTCCGTTGGCTGCTGCAACGCTGCGTCGCTAATTTGAGGATCGATGTTGCTAACCCATTCTTACGGTCCTTTGCAGTCTTCCAGTAGCGAGAGCAGTTGGATCAGCAGTCCAGATCACGCCGCAGGGAGCAGCAGCAGTAGCCATTGTGGAGTGGATGTTATCGGGCCCCACGGTGGCCCCGGCCCCTGCAGTCCCCACAGTGCCTCGACGCAGTCGGACCCCGTGGACCTGCTGTCCTACCAGCACATCAACCGTGTCCTGAAGGAAGCCCATTTCCACAGCTTACAGAGCCGGACTCAGTCCAAGCACAGGTGACTTTCAGGGACAGATTAACCCCATAGCGACCCCTAGAAGACAGGGTAAAACTTCTTCATCTCCATCCTCATTCAAACCTGCTTCTACTTTCTAGATCTCTCTGCTAGAGCTCATCTTATGTTGATATTTAATTGGATGGAAAACATGCCCTGGTACTGTAAGCTCTTCGACTAACTAGAGCACAAAAGTGTTTTTTGTAAGCAATAACAGCTTGACTATGATGCAAACTTTTGTGACTTTCACACTGTGTATTTTTCTTCTGAAAACAGCTGTATTGAGAATGATGATACAATTTAGTGGGGATTTGCACTTGGGAGTTTGTTGTTTTGTTGATCAGATATTGATGTGGACCATATAGCAATTCAGCTGAGCACATTTAGATGGGAGGCTTAAACATGCCAAAATATTCCAATGCACTTCTGATTAGTGAACTCCATCGCAGTGCTGTAACTAATGAATTAAGAAGCCAGTCGATTTAATATCAAAGACTGTGCTGGTGGGCAGATCTGGGTCATTTCTTTATAATCTTGGCTCAGAGTTCTGCCGCATCTCTTGCCTCCCAACCATCACTGAAGCTGGTTGCTCATCCAGGCATCATGCCTTCGAGACCCTGCAGAGATTTTCTTGTGTGCTGTTCAAATTCTGCATTTGAAAGATTGTTGTTTATTTTACTATACCTTTTTGTATGGAAAGATGTACAATACATTTTACATTCAGATCATCTACATTTCTAAATAAAGATGTGTGTTCTCAAGCAAATCTGGGTGTTTAACTTGTGTGATTAACTGAAAATAGTATAGCTGTCGAATAAAATCCGGATAGAAGAAAAAAAATTTTTGCTAACACTCCAAAGAGAAAGGAAAAATTTAAATCGCATCATATGCCTTTAACAATTCCGTGACTTCTGCGGTTGTAGAAGCTACATGTCAGCGTGTTTTCAACTGAAAGAAAAATTGTCTTTAATCACCAAATCCTCATTTAATTACTATAGTACCAATAATGCTGAACTAAGATTTCTCATTTAGAGAAAGTCACATTAAATATTGCTTATTATGCCATAAACCTTAAATATATGGTTTTATAATCCATGACTTACAGTTTTGCATTGTACTGTTCTTTCTGATTTGATTGTCACTTGGAATGCTTCATTGAATTTCCTTAAGTACAGAGTCTTGTTTCTTTGTCTTTCTGTCTGTATGTAGCTTCATTCTCCTATTATGTGTTTTTCTGTCTTAGTACACGTGTGTAATAGATGACAGAGGGAAGGGGAAGAAATCTTCCTTTTCTGGATGTGTAGTGAATTACAGCTCAGTGCCAGACCAGGCATTAATGAGAGATGATCTGTGCTTCCAGGAGTTGTGGGAAAAGGTCATTTTAATTAGAGCACTACATGTCCTTGTCTTGTCACATTACGCTGCATAACGGATTACATATATTAATTTGCCTCTGGTAAGCACGGCTCCCCGTCTCTGCGTCCTCATTAGAGCTCCTGCGGAAAGCACAGGCCTTCCTTCACTGCAACGAGCATGATAGATGTGTCCAAAATGACCCTGGATCAGTTTATCAGGCCTCTGAAGAATAAGAAACACAGCCTTGATTTGGAATATATTCTCCTATACTTGATATTCGATACTGACGGACTAGATTTCTGACAAAAATGTAAGTATTGTTGCCTGTGAAAAGCTTACAGCCTCAAAGCCAGGGTGTAGCTAACAATATGTTGCTGCTGCAGTGTTCTGAGCATTTATGCTATGTTTGCTAGGCATTTTGAAGGGTGTTTTTTGTAAGATGCTCAATAGGCCATCCCAAAGTCTCTAGCAATGATTCAAGTTCCTCTTTAAGTCTATGGGATGTTTTAAAGAATTTAGAAGATGCAAATGTGAACAAACCAAATGAATCTTTCTCATAATGTCATCTCAAGTCATAGAGTTTCTCTTCAAAAACTTTTTTTCACAGAATTGTGAGATATAAACTCGCAAGTGCGAGTTATAAAGTCAGAATTGCGAGATTATAAACTCACAATTCTGTCTTTTTTCTCAGAATTGCGTGATATAAACTCGCAATTCTGACTTTTCCCCTCGCAATTGCGAGTTTATATCACGCAATTATGACTTTATTTCTCAGAATTGCGAGTTTATATCTCACAATTCTGTGAAAAACGTCAGAATTGTGAGATAAAAAGTCGCAATAACCTTTATTTATTGTATTTTTTTTTTATTCAGTGGCGGAAACGGGCTCCCATACTTTACAGAGCTTCCATATCACCCAAATAAACTAAGACTAAACCCACTGTAAGAAATTGTGATTTTAATGGTTTAAGACTGTTAATCGGTTAACTATAAGTTTCCTTGCTGTGTATGGTGAATAACTGTAATATATCTAACCTTACATTTTACAGTAAAATAGTTAAATTTACAGATTTGGGAAGTGAAAAAGAAGTCATATAATTTACAGTGAAAAAACTTAAAATGACATTCCCAGAATTCCCTGCTAATTAATTGAGACAACCCTATAAAGGTCCATATATAAAGGGCTGAATAAAGATTCCAGAACACAATGGACTCAATGGACCCTATTCACTCATCAAAGAAGCACAATGAAGACAAGACTGCAGTCACATCATGTGTGGTATACAGTAGTTTAATGAATTCATTGCCTTGTACTCCACTGTAATTTAACATTAAGTTGTTAACATTGTTAAATTGTACTTTAGTTAAAACTTGAATGGTATTAAATCAGGTGTTTTATCACAATTACTTCCATGCCCTCACAAAAGCATCACAATGGATACCAGCAGATGGCAGCAGAATTCTTCAAATTCACTGTGCAAAGTGAAATTCTGTCATTTCACGTCAAAACAGTTTTAAAAACAACTACTTTAATATTAGACAAATAAATAAGAAGCATTTACGATGAACCTGTTAACTACGAAGACTAATACCACATAGACCTGCATGCGTGTTATGGTAAAGTGTGTAGCGCAGCGAGGAAGGAGAGAGTTAAATCAGCTGTCCTTGTTCTGGTGTCTGGTGCACATACGTTGTTTTATTTTTACCATCCACCATTAAAATCTGGGTTACACTCAAGGCCTTTTGGTCCTTGTCCCGCTCCTGAAATGAGAGACTGCAGCCAGAATATACGACTATAGCAGTTTATAAGGCCTGCATGCATATTCAGCAGGGCCAACAAAATCTTCACTGTTTCAAGTCAACATGAAATCAACGTGATTCTATCTGTGATTTACTTTCTTAATACACATTCTGCTCTTCCATTCCATCCACCATTAAAATCTGGGTTACACTCAAGGCCTTTTGGTCCTTGTCCCGCTCCTGAAATGAGAGACTGCAGCCAGAATATACGACTATAGCAGTTTATAAGGCCTGCATGCATATTCAGCAGGGCCAACAAAATCTTCACTGTTTCAAGTCAACATGAAATCAACATGTGATTCTATCTGTGATTTACTTTCTTAATACACATTCTGCTCTTCCATGCATCAATGCATGTTATTCCAAAGACAATACCTCTGAAACAACTTTCCTTTTTTTGCTGATGTCACAAACAAATCCCTCTTACTTTTCAACTCCGCCCAGTCAACCACCTGCCATTTAGAAAAAAGATAGAGAAGTCACCAAAAAGTCAAAATAGGAAAGAAGATTCACTCTCCATATGCACGTTTACCTCTAGTAAAAACACCCTTATTTCTCAAACCATGGTACTGTATATAGGCCATTATGTGAAACTGGATTCTCACAGCTCTGAAACGATGCTGAGTGAGCACCAGACTGACTGTACACACAGCTTTGGCGCTTTTCTCCACTCTGTGCCAGAGCAGGCTGTTTAGGTAGCTGTTAGATGGCCGGGGCCTGGTGTGAACCTGGCACAAGAGCTACTGGTCTTCAGTCGAAAGCCAACACTAACATCTGTTCCATCAGAAGAAAAAAAGCTCTCAACGGCCTCCTCCATCCCCAACACTCCAGCTAATGACTGGCCACTCCTGTCATTAAAGCCTTATTACCTTCGTAGGACTCCATACAGAGAAGAGACGAATACACTGGAAAACCGCAGGGGAGAGAGGTGCAAATGCAGTCTACTGTTAGATGGACACATTAATGGGTGGATGTTCTGATTGGGATAACTATATTCCCATTTCTAATGAACACTTCTGGGAACTGTTTAGGGCTTCTCATAGAAATCATACGCAGTACCTTACATCAGCTAGCTGGAGGTTTAGACTATTAACTCTCCACAGGATAGCGTTGAAACACATTAGACATACAAATCATTTGAAATGTGTTTCCTTTTTTTAAGCTGTTAGCTTGCTAAAGGAAGGAAGCAACTAACAACACAAAGAAAGTGAAATGCTTAATTTGATCATTTTACACTCTAAAAAATGCTGGGTTGAATACAACCCAGTGCTGGGTAAAATAGGGACAAACCCAGCAATTGGGCTGTTTTGACCCAGCGGTTGGGTTACTACCCAGAAGGTTGGGTTAAACATTTAACCAAACCGCTGGGTCAAAACAGCCCAATTGCTGGGTTTGTCACTATTTAACCCAGCACTGGGTTGTATTTAACCCAGCATTTTTTAGAGTGTAGCTTCAAACCATAGCTTAAATTTAGCTTGAACCCATAATATGATGTCATACGTAATACAAGCATTCATTAAAATTGTTAGTTCACCCCAAAATGAAAATGTACTCACCCTTAAGGTGTTCCAAACACATAAGACCTTTGTTCATTTTTGAAACATAAACAAAGATATTTTTCAATGACCGACACGCATAGAGCGCATCAGATATGGTAAACACGGAAAAAGCTCAAATGTCAACTGCGTGATTTGTAAAAACCGACGTGGTTTGTAGTGTGTGAGAAACGCACATTTGAGCATCTGTGTTTACCATATTTGATGCGCACTATGTATGTGCATTCAGGGCCGTCCTTAGCTGACGCGGGGCCTGGTGCGAGGTAGGGAGCGGGGCCCCCCTCGGTCCGTTCGCGATCGCGTTCCGGGGGGGGGGGCACCAGTTGCACCCCCCTAAGGACGGCCCTGTGTGCATTGATCGTAAAAGTCAAGTGATAAAGTATTAAAGTCAGCTATCATATATTAATAGTAGCTTTCATTTTTTACAGTTTTTTTAACAGTATTAAATTTAAGGTTGAATGCAATTCTAAGACTCTGAAAGCCTCTTTCTAGTATCCTCCTTCTCATCTCATAACCCTCTCCAAAACCCCCCTCAAACCCCCCTGTTGTTGAAAGACGGGGTCATCCGGCCAGTCACCAGCATGAAGTCTCACAGATCACCAAAAGAAGAGAGGGCACTGAACAAGACCAAACACAGCTGTTAGACTCAATGTCTCTTCTGTAGTTACCTTAAATAAAGCAAATACTGGATTCAGTCTTTATAGACTTTCTCTGTATAGCTGCCACACTGTGGCTGTCTCACGGTCTGTGTTCAATATGTGCCCTATTCAATCTCACACAATGTGTTTCAGAGACAATGTGCATTATAGACTGTTCTGTTTCACCAAATAAATGCTATACTTCAGACCTTGGTTCAGCAAACCAGTCTAAAAGAAAGAGTTCATGCAGAAAGTAACGTTTTGTCATCATTTACTTATCCTGATGACTCATCTATGTGACTGACTTTCTACTGTTCTACACTGCAGGAGATGTTTTGAAGAATTTTGAAGTTTGAACCAATGGATTCTGCAATCATCGGCTTCAAGTCTGTCATGCCATATTTGAAT